AGTTGAAATGTATTCTATATTTTTTACAATTTTATAATATAATAATATACTTTAGAGTCAGCTTCACGGTCTGGTACATAAGGCAGCTGGATCCCACATGGCCCACTATGCAGTTGGAGTCCTGGACCTGGCAGCTTAAGAAGTATGCCAGTTAAGTGTCACATGTGCCCCAGATCCCAAGAGGGAGAGATGGAGAAGATATTTGCAGTGGTGTGAACATGCCCCATGAGGCATGCTTTCTCCTTTCCCTCTTTCTCCCTTTATCTCTCTACCAAGCACGTGAATCCTCTGACAACAACAAAACTTTTAAATTATATTAACCTATGATTATATATAATAATTAGAGCAAAAGCAAAGTTGCAAATGTTTTTTAAAAAGGGGCCTAATAGTCATGGCACTCTACACTGCTTACTAAAGTGCATATAGTTTAAAATAATGCAAGTTAGGTTTTGTTTACAAATTTAAGAGGACTGAGTAGTTCCTTGCATATAAGAATCCTCAAGTAGGTTTATAGATTAAGCTAAGAAAAAGAGGTTAAGGAAAATATCACATATCAAAATAAGCAGTAGTTCATAATTTTAAAAACTCAGTTATTTTATTTAAGCTCATGATTTAAGGGAAAAAAAATCTTATCCCAACAAAATCGTGGTATAGGCAGAATGTATGCAAGGGGAATCCCAATTTTAATTGGTGTACTTCTCTCACTTGAATTCAGACTCTTTGACTACAAGACATTTTATTGCTGTTGTGTAGGAAAAAGTCTATTTTTCTCTAATCCCTTCTAACCACTTGCTGAACTCAGGTAGCTCCACTCAACTATTTTCCTTCTATCCTATGCAGGTCAGAATTTGTATTCCCTCTTCCTTTTGACTGTCCTAGTGATTAAAATAATAAAGTGAATAAATTTATATTAAAGTGTGGTTATGAGGACCAACAAATGGCATAATGGTTATGTCACTGGACTTTCATGTAGTTGACTGAAGATTGAGTCCCAGACCCAGTGGCTTGCCCAGATGCTGGGCACATGTGTGTGCGTGCCCAAAATTTGGAGAAGAGGTTGCAGAATGGCCATGTCCCCCTTGCGGGGGCGGGCGGTGGTGGTGGTGATTTCTTGCTTTCTGTCTCTGTGTCTCTAAAGAGAGACTTACTGTCTCTCCAGTGAGTGCATGAGCCCTATAGTAGAAAAAACAAAACACTCTGTCTCTCTCAAAAATAAGTGTGGTTAGTCACATTCAACCTTTGATTCCACTTCCCTTTAAGAAAATTTGCAATGAGGAACCAGCAGTTGGTATAATGGCTATGTCGCTGGACTCTCATGTAGTCAACCATGGTTTGAGTCCCAGATCCAGTGGCTTAAACTCATCTGGCATGTGTGCATGTGTGCTCAAGATCCCAAGAGGAGAATGGAGAAGGGATTCTGGCATGGCCATACCCCTGGGGGGTTACTTCTCGCTTCTGTCTCCCTGTCTGTCTCAGTCTTTCTGGCGAATGCATGCGCATGATAGCAAAAAAAAAAAAAAAAAGAAAACTTGCAATGGAAAGATCTGTAAACACAAGAGAATTCTGAATTCTTTTAATTACTGGAAATTGAACAAGGGACAGAAAATTTGGCTATAATGAAGTTTGTGTAAAGTAAATGAACTCAAATTCAACTGGGAAGTAAAGGAACAATGTTAGCACACAATGTGGGAGCTGGTTGACATGTGATCATCTTCACCGTTAATGTTCGGCACCACCAGGTAACAACCACTGAACACACAAGTACATTGACATAGCTGAATGTGGCAAGCCAGAGAGGAGCATATGGCACCTGCATTCTTCTTATTGGCTCTCTGGCTACATTCTCCAGCTCAGAAATGCTTACTAACCTTTCTCATCTTTGTTAATTTTAGTTTGTATATGTCCTCATTTCTTCCTTTCATCAAGTTATCTTTATATTTACTAAAGTGTTTATCAGGTATTTACCTATTTTAATTACTGCTATTTTCATTAGAATAAATACTGTTTTGTTAGTACTCTTGGTCATAAAGTTATGTAGGTTTTCCTGGTTCATCAATGTTATTTTTCCCTTAAGCTTACTATTTTCATTGAACAATTTTGCAGAAATAAAGATTTTTCACAAACAAATACCATGTTATTGCAGTAATAACCCAAAAGCATTTAAAAATCATGGGGAGGATTTCCTTCTATCCCATGGATCTTCTTTTTGTCTTTCCTTTTTTGCAGGGAGTAGTCTGGAGAAAAAGGAAGAATTTTCTTTTTTTCTTTTTTTATAGCTCTATATTTTAAGGGTCTAAACATTTAAACCTACTCAATCGACTGAAATGCTTTCCAATTTCTCCCTTCATATATTATCAATAATGATCAATTATGAAAATCCCAAAGGAGTACAATTCCAATATTACTTGTCATGTCTTAATTTTCGATAAAATTCTCTTTAATTAGGTACAAGAGACTCTGTTTCAAATATCTTTTTTTACAAGTATATTTTGAGAAATAGCCTCATTATATCATTTCCCTCCTTGTCATCGCTTAAACTATTTTGATACATTTTTAGAAAATGATTGGAAATCTACAACTCTTAATTGTTGTGGTTAAGATTTAATCATGGCCTGTTCTATGCTTAGAAAAAACTGAAGAGGATTCGAGGTTTTCCTTAAGATTTCCCACATATCTCAGAGTTTTCACATACTCAGAAATATTAGCTTTATAACATGTAAAATGTTATAAAGTTGGAAAGTTGGCAGAAAGGATGAAAAATTTGGGACTCCACATTTTGCAGGAAATAAAGAGGATATATTTCAGTGTCCTTTGGTCCTTTCTCTAGCCTCCTCAGCCCACAGAGTTTCTGTAGGTATTTTAGAAAGTAGGAAAATAATTTTCATGTCAAAAAGGATTAGAAGAGAAAAAAGGTTACATAAATTTCAATGAAACAATATAGAAATAGTTATTATAAGTGAAAGAGGATAAATTTTTAAAAAGTTAAGAGTATGGAAATGGAGCCAGAGGAATATAATTGTGAGGCATTTGTATGGTTCAGCTTTCTAGTAGCCAATATAAGGTCATCTATCCGATATACCATATCCATTAGCTGAAACAAACCAATTATTAGAGGACACAGACTTATTTTTGGAGCTAGTATTAGAGAGGAACTTTTTCCTAAGGATTTCATAATCTATGTGATGATATGTAATACTTTTGCACTTGGGAGAAAAAAGAACAGGGAGGGGTGGCTTCTTTTTTTTTTTTTTTTGGAGAGGTTTTTGCTATAGGGCGCGTGCGCTCGCCAGATAGAGAGAGACTTAGAGACAGAAAGCAAGGAAATCACCCCCCAGAGGGGATGGCCACGCCGCAATCCCTTCTCCTCCATTCTCCTCTCGGGATCTTGGGCACGCACGCACACGTGCCCGGCGTGAGCTTAAGCCACCGGGTCCGGGACTCGAACCGCGGTTGACTACGTGGGAGTCCAGCGACATAGCCATTACGCTAACTGCTGGTCCCAGGGGTGGCTTCTTAACCCTGCTTCAACCGTTAAGATTTAATTGGAATAAAGTCTTTGCGGGCTAAAGAATGTATGCAAATTATTAATGTAGGTAAATTTTCCCTACTGTATCTTGAGTTTTTGAAGACAGAAGTTGCTTATTAATCACAGATCTTTTTTTGGGGGGGAAGGGGAGGTTTTTGCTATAGTGTGCGTGCACTCGCCACCAAGACAGAGAGACACAGAGAGACAGAAAGCAAGAAATCACCCACCGGGGCATGACCACACCACAATCCCTTCTCCTCCATTCTCCTCTCAGGATCTTGGGCACACACGCACACACACCCGGCATGAGTTTAAGCCACTGGGTCTGGGACTCAAACTGCAGTCGACTACATGGGAGTTCAGTGACATAGCCATTACGCTAAACTGCTGGTCCCTTATTCATCACAGATCTTAAATATAACATAGCTGGTGTTATTAAATCACTAAATGAATGCTTAAAAGGATGTATACCTGTGAGTGCTCCCTCAGAGTCATCTTTTCCTTAGCACTGGGTAGTAGGAAGTGTGAAAACAGCAATAGCATGGTCCTTAGAAAAATGTTAGAGCTTTGTTTACTGGAGGGTGCCTTTCATACTCACCTTTTTGAACTCCTGCCTTTCAGTCTCTTTTAGCCTCAGTGGATGTCTCTGTACTTTCCAGCACCAAATATAGTCAGAATGACACAGACAGACCTCATGTACATTTGCTACTGCATTGTTTTTAGAGAGTCTGACAGGTTTTTCTGTTAGGAAAACAGGTAAAAGGGATATTTCAATGAACGCCTAATTTGTCATCCTTGACATCCTACATACTGAAAGTGTTCTTTGAAGCCTGTGAGGTATCTGTCCAATAAGGTTTCCTTAGGCTAAGGACTTTTCCCTTTCCTTCACTCATTAAATGATAAAAACTGTTGTCACTCATTCAGAGTATGTACTTTTCTGTTTTTAATTAAAGCATGGCAGATTAATATAGTGTAAAAGTAAATTTTTGTTTGGGGTTAGGAAATGAAAGACTTACGTTCAGGAGTCAATGTCAAGAATTAACTTGAAATCTCAGGCAAGTCTTTCAACACCTGTGTAATTCTTTTTTATAGTATGTGAAGTAAAAATAATTATCTGCCCTTTCTGCCATTATCCCCATTCTTGGCCCATTATTTTACTCACTGGTCTATCTTATGAACATATCTGCCTGAAAGCAGAAACTGTTTCATTGGTTAGTATCCTAAATGCTTATCGCAATGATTGTCACATGGCATAACCAGTAAGATGTCCATTGATTCAATGAATTAACATCAGGAATGTTTCACAGTGCTAAATAAATGTGAGCTGTCTGAGGGAAACACGTAGAAAGAACCTGACCATGTTTTCCTCTCGTTTGGGCCTGTTGGTTCCTGCCTGTGGCCCTACTGGCCACAAACAATCAGTACCAGTCCATGTAGACAAGATTGACAGTGACTGGATGCTGATGGATCTTACACTTTCATCCTTCTGGAAGTGTTTTTACTGCAAAGATGTTGGGTTTCTTTTGGACCATCTCCTGTCCATTGTCATACACTGCTCCTCACGTACAGCCATGCTGATATTGCCAAATGATACCTGTAAAAAAAAACAAAATGTTGAGTATTTATTCAGTAGCATATTTTGTATGTATCCACTATCAAAAGTATGCATGAGTTTTCTCTGATTATGACATTGAGAAGTTACTGAGATCTTATTATGTACCTGGTATTACCATGTTGGGTAAGTTAATATTAACTCATTTTGTCATTACATTTCTATAGAGTAGGTACAACTGTTATTTTTGCATATGAAAATGTGAAGGAAAAAAAAGAAGTGAAGTATTTAGTCTAAGGTCACAGTTAAGAGGGTGGAGCCTAGCCTGTCTAGATCTAGAATGGCCTGTCTGGCTCCAGAGTCCAAGTTCTTAACCCCTATCTATGCTAACCCTTATCCAATTGATTAGGTAGCTGTGGTTTTATGATAATTCAATTTCCTCTTAGGAAAGAATAGGATATTTGAAGCTTACTTTAATTATGAAAAATCTATCCTTTACTTCAATGGTTTCCCAAGTTTTAACTGGAGTTCCCTTTGTATGCTTATATTAATACTCACATTTATAAAATATATATTAAAAAAGGAACTTGAAAGAATGCTTTCATTTCCTCATATAGTAAAGAGGATGTCACAGCAAGTTTAAAAAACAAATAAAACCACCAGAAAACTACTCAAATGATACACTAAAACTGTAAATAAATGTTTGACTTATAATATAGATGGCCTAGAAATGTTTTTTACTCCAGCTTAAACCAAGCCTATACTGCAGACTGTAGCATACTTGTATTTTTTACACCTTAATATCAAAATGGTGACAATTATACAGTATTGCTTGCTATTCGATTACCTTGTAAAGTTGATAATTTTGTACATGAATGTTCCTTCCATAATGGAAGATCTTGTGTTAAACACCGTGAAATTTTAGTAGATTAGTAATAATACTATAGTACTTCAATATGCAATGAATCAGAGCAAAAAAACTGGACTCCAAATGCTAAGAGTACTTCTGAACACCAGCTTATGTATACCTGTTTCTATTAGCATTCAATGGATGTAAAATGCAAAACCCAAATTTAGTTTGGATTTTCCAGTAGTTATATTCTACCAGGGTTGTAATACTTTCCTTTACTGACAATAATAAAAAAACAAAAACATTATAAATCATAGACAGTACACAATAGTTCTTACTTCATCTATAAAAATAGTGAGAATGCCAACATTTTATTTGCTACAGGGTAAGGGAAACATCAGTAAAATAAATTTGATAACATGACTCACACTTCATTACAAGTGATTTTCATAAATTCACAACTTTCACATTTGGTTGAGTTAAAAAATAAAACAAACTAAAAATGGAAATTTCACTAGATGTAAGTAGGCCAAGTCATACGATGTCTCTAAATGAGATTTTAAATGAGAATGAGTACACTTTTCTGAGAAAATATATTCCTTAATTTGGTGAGTTTAAATAATTTACCCACTTTGATGAATAAGCCCTTGGGTTAGGTTCAGAAACCTACTCTATTGGCCTATTTCATAAGAATTACACAAATATTTATTATGGGGCATATATGAAACACTTCCTTGTTTAAATCATTATTCTAAAACAAGACTTTTTAAAATCCCTACTTCTGTGCTGTCTTTCATGTCTTTTTTTTCTCCTTAATGTACCTTCTGAATTCTTAGGTATGCTTTCTAATTATAAAAAGTCCATTTTACTTCATGGATTAATGTATTTATCAACTTTAGGTCCTGGTTGAAGGAAGCAGTAAGAGTAAAGAACAGAGCTATTTAAACTGCTTCCTCATTCCTTTCTTCCATTACCAGTAGTAACCTTTATTCAGAAATCAATGAGGAAGAAGTAGCAGTCTCGAAGCGCCTAGGGATGCAACAAATTCAGAGAAAATATGGCTCTGGTGAGATATTAAAGTCATATAGGTAATGGAGTTTAACTGAACCCATTAATACTTCTCAAAAGGTTCAGACTTAGGTAGGGTGTGAGGTGTCGGGGTGTGCGTGGACCCTTCATAAACTGAGATTTTCATAAATTTTTTTTCTTTTCTTGTGAAACAGAATAAACAGTAATACAAGTGCTTAGTACCACATGCATTTGAGGCTTAAAAGCCCATTAGTAAGCACGTTGTATCCATAGTTGAGGGGAAGGATCACTTTTTAAATAAGGATCGCTATTAGAATGTAATCAAACAGGGACTCTCCCTCCCCAGGAGCCGTGAGGGAAAAGGGAGACAGAAATATTGCCCCCTACTTGCACGTGGGATCTCCCTTTCTCCTAGGACCTCCCTACGCCTGGCCTCTCCTAGTCAGGCCATTTTGGGAGGTAGCGGGGGAAAAGGCAACGCTTAGTCCTCCATGGCAAAGTCTTTGGTCTTTTCCTCTTGGTCCCCCACTTTGTAGCGCAGCAGCACACGTAGGCGACGAGGGTTGTCCCGGGAGGGCAGCATTGTGATCTCTCCCGAGACCTCCGTGTCTTGTTCGACTTGCACCGGCTCGTTCAGGTAGAGAAGCGCCTGCTTCCAGTGGGTGGCCGGGTGAAAAGGCGAGGTAGACAGCACCAGAGGTTTCTCAGAGTCCCCTCCTGGGAAGGTCACCTGGTACCAGATGGCAAAGCCGTGCATGGGCGCCGAGCCATAGCAGCTGCAGTGGAAACGCCCGCTCACCCCTGCCTCCAGTTCCTGTTCCAGGCCCACGCGGGCCAACTCGAGCTGAGCAAAGCGCTGTGGCCGGGCCAGCACGTCCTCGCCGGACAGGCCCTGCACCACGATCTCCGAGTGGCCCATGAGACAGCGCGTGGCAAAGCTCTCCAGGCAGCTCATGTCCACGCCGTAGTGTTGTTTCACCTGGCTCCAGAAGCCTAGGCGCCATTCCAGCATCTGGTCGCTTATGGGGGCCACGAAGAGCTCGGCGGAAGCCGGCAGGAGAAGCCCGCCCTCCTTCCGCCACTTCGTCCCC